CAATTTAGATGGTCTCCCTCTTACTGGCATTGACAGTCATTTTTTATTACCTGAGTCTGCAGGAAGGTGTATAATTCATTTTCTTGTGGACTTGGAAGTCTTGCCTATTGGCGTATGCCGATTCTTCTAGATTTCAGCAGGTGATGACATCCCCCGCTGGACTGTTGCTTTTCTGCTTTCATTTCTAGAGCTTTTATCTTAGAATTTCAGCCTTAAATATTTACTTCCTGTGGCTAGAGATAGGAGCCCTGTAAAGCTAAGGATGGTAGTGGATGGAGCGGGAGGCAGTGGAACAGGCTGAAACAAAATCACAGCTAACTTAGTTCTCTTTGAGCCCTAATACGTTTCCTTTCCATCCTCATGTGTGGGGCACAAAGGACGTGGCGTTTGTACAGTAGATGCTCTCCATACACTAGGTGTTGTCCGTGATCCAGTCAAATGGGGTGAAACTCTCTGTCGTCATTTACCTTTACCATTCCCATGACTTGCTCTGCCTCCTTGTATAGTTTTTTCTTTCATGTCTAGTGACCTGGGCTTGGGGTGGATACTTCCTACTACTGGAAATCTTAAACTCTAAGACAGAAAAACCCAATGTGCCTGTTTTTCTAATTTCCTGATTCTGGTTCCAAAGAGTGAATTACTTCAATCAAGGGCACTTTTAAGCTCCTGAATTCTCTATCCTTAAGAAACCTGTTAGACAGTTTTATCCCCAGTTGTAACATTGGCCCTTTCAGAATCCTCCAACGAGCAAGCAGTCAGGGCTCTGCCCTGGGGCCAGTGGGAAGGAGAGTCACTGCATCTTGGGGGAAATGAGCAATTTGACCTTGGAATGGTGACTATGAATAAAAGTTAGATGGAATCATGTAATTTCAGCAAAAAGTAGTAACAAAATGAGAGGATTTTCATTCTTGGGACAATTTGTAGAGAATATTCTCTTCTTTAAGAAACACATGCTCTATTATAGTAAAGAAGTTACAGACAAGGAAGGAAAATCTCACTTTTGGTTCAGTTTGATAACTTACAGATGGATAGGCATTTTTCTCTGAGAATTTTAAAGTTTAAAAGACTGTGAACATCAGAAAAGATTACAGTTATCCTTGACCATATGATAGTTGTAACCATTTCCCAAATCTATAGTAGAAAACATTGCCCTGTAATTCATGGCAGAGGATTCCAGAGGCTGATGAGTTGAGAAGGGTTTGGTTTGGGTACGATATTTTTAACTTTACTTTGTAGGTAGAGAAATTATAATGAGTATAAAAGGGAAATTTCAGGCTCAAAGGGTAAAAGGATTATGGGAAGTTTGCTTTGAGCTTCTTACTTGATCATAGTAAGCAGGCAAAGCTTAAGGCTAAGACAATGGTATATTCCGCTTTTAAAAGATCTTTTAAAAATATACATTATAAACATTAACTCAAAATGGACCATGGACTTAAATGTAAAACATCAAACTATGAAACTTTCAGAAAAAAAAATTAAGGGAAAATCCTCAGGACTTGGAGCTAAATAAATCTTAGACCTGACACTAAAAGCATCACACACACACACACACACACACACACACGGAACAGATTTG